GTAAGGGAGGGAGGGGGGAGGTGGGAGATGGAGGAGGGGGAAGTGAAGAGAGTATAAAGGGGAGGGGAGGTGAAGAGGGAGGGGGGAGGGGGGAGGTGGAAGAGTGTAGGGAGGAAGGGGAGGTGAAGAGGTAGTGGAGGAGGGGGAGGTGAAGAGTGAGTGGAGGGAGGGGGAGGTGAAGGTGTATGGAGGAGGGGGAAGGAAGAGAGAGAAGGAGGGGGAGGTGAAGAGTGGTGGGGGAGGGGGAGGTGAAGAGGGTATGGAGGAAGGGGAGGAAGGGAGGGAGGGGGAGGTGAAGAGGTATGGAGGGGAGAGGGGAGGTGAAGAGTGGAGGAGGGGAAGGGAAGAGAGGGAGGGAGGGGAGGTGAAGAGGGGAGTGGAGGGAGGGGGAGGTGAAGGGGTGTAAGGGAGGGAGGGGAGGTGAAGGGTGTGGGAGGGAGGGGGGAAGTGAAGAGAGTATAGAGGGAGGGGGGGAGGTGAAGAGGTATGGAGGGGTGAGGGGAGGTGAAGAGTGTATGGAGGGAGGGGAAGTGAAGAGAGATGGAGGGAGGGGGTGAAGAGTGTATGGGGAGGAGGGGGTGATGTATGGAGGAGGAAGAGAGGAGGGGGAGGAAGAGGAAGTGGAGGGTGAGGGGAGGTGAAGGGTGAGTATAGGAGGAGGGGGAGGTGAAGGTAAGGGAGGGAGGGGGAGGTGAAGAGGTATGGAGGAGGGGAGGTGAAGAGTGTATGGAGGGAGGGAGGTGAAGAGGTATGGAGGGAAGGGGAGGGAAGAGGTGGGTGGAGGAGGGGAGGTAATGAGTGTATGGAGAGAGAGGAGGTGAAGAGTGTATGGAGGGAGGGGGAAGAAGAGGTAAAGGGAGGGGAGGGGGAAGGGAGAGACAGAGGGAGGAGAGGTGAAGGGTGGTGGAGGAGGGGAAGTGAAGAGTGTATGGAGGGAAGGGCGACTGAAGAGTGTAAGGGGGAAGGAGGGGAGAAGAGTGTAAGGGAGGGAGGGGAGGTGAAGGGTGGGTGGAGGGAGGGGAGAGGTAAGAGTGATGGGAGGGAGGGGAGGAAGGTATATGGAGGGAGGGGAGGGAAGAGTGTGGAGGAGGGGAGGTAACGGTGTATGGGGGGAAGGGGGTGGTGAAGAGTGTAGTGGAGGGAGGGGAGGTGAACAGTGTATGGAGGGGAGGGGGGGAGGTGAATATGCATGGAGGAGGGGAGGAACAGTGTATGGAGGGAGGGAGGTGAACAGTGTGGGGAGGAGGGGAGGTGAAGAGTGTGGGGATGAGGGGGAGGTGAAGAGTATGGAGGAGGGGGAGGTGAAGAGTGTATGGAGGGGAGGGGAGGTGAAGAGGGTGGAGGGGGTGAGGGTGCATGTAGGGGAGGGGAGGTGAAGAGATGGGAGGGGAGGGGGAGGTGAAGAATGGAGGGGAGGGGAGGTGAAGAGAGGAGGGAGGAGGAGGTGAAGAGTGTATGGAGGGGAGGGGGAGGTGAAGAGTGTAAGGGAGGGAAGGGGAGGTGAAGAGAGTATGGAGGGAGGGGTAGGTGAAGAGTGTAGGAGGGAGGGGGGAGGTGAAGAGTGTAGGAAGGGAGGGGAGGGAAGAGGAGGGAGGGAGGGGATGGTGAAGAGTGGTGGAGGGGTGGGAGGTATGTGGGTGGAGGGGAGGGAGGAATAGTGTATGGAGGGAGGGGAGGTGAAGAGGGGAGTAGAGGGGAGGGGGGGAGGTGATGGAGGTATGGAGGAGGAGGTGATGAGTGTATGGAGGAGGGGAGGTGAAGGTATGGAGGGGAGGGGGAGGTGAAGAGTGTGTGGAGGGAGGGGGAGGTGAATAGTGTATGGAGGGAGGGGAGTTGATGAGTGTATGGGAGGGAGGGGAAGGAAGAGTGTAGGGAGGAGGGGGGTGAAGAGTGTGATGGAGGGGAGGTGAGGTATGAGTGTATGGAGGGAGGGGAGGTGAAGTGTGTAAGGGAGGGGAGGGGAGGTGAAGAGGTGGAGGGGAGGGGGTGGGTAAAGAGTGCATGGAGGGGAGGGGAGGTGAAGAGGTAAGGGAGGGAGGTGGAGGTAGTGAGGAAGGGAGGGAGGGGAGGTGAAGAGTGTGGGTGGAGGGAGGGGAGGGAAGAGTATGGAGGGAGGGGGTAGGTGAAGAGTGTATGGGGGGAGGGTAGGTGAATAGTGCATGGAGGGAGGGGGAGGTGAAGAGTGTGGAGGAGGGGGAGGTGAAGAGAATGTATTAGCCTCGTCTAATAGACAGTAGTACTTATATAAATGGTTTTTTATATTAGGTTTATATAACTACATCACCCACGGTAATTTTCCATGAGCAGTGAGCCATCACGCACTGATCATGTAATAGATGTTCACGGGAAGTTGCGTCTCTCGACGCTAGAGTCCGCAATTAAGTAAACAGGCTCGCCCCAGTATTCACTCACCTCTCAAACCGGATGAACGTCCCAACGCAAAGCTATTATTTATAAGCTCCATTCATCATGAAAGCTCACAGCTCATAGTGTTAATTATGGTGATATCCTAGTTAAATGTGCATGCAGTTAATTTGATTAATAAATGGAGAAAAGACCTTTTGGGTTACAAACTTAACCCTTAAACATTTTGTAAATGTGACTGAAGTTACCTGCCATCAGTAAGTGTTAGGTTACCGGAAGCAGTTCCGTAAATGTGGCAGCTCGAAGAAAAGTATCCATAAAAAAGCCAGTGTTTTTATACCCAAACTGAAAGTTTTTAATTGTGACATTCTTCATTGTTCCACGTGGATATATACCGTAGTGAGAGACGTTATATATTGACTGGAACACTTATTTGTCGTCCCAGATTGACGTAAGAAATTTTACATATAATCATAATACGTGATGTAATACAATTAGTCACTTTATTTGTGGTAACACTGTCGTTCCAATGCGGCAACCCCCCACCATAACTCAGTCTCCAAGACGTGACACAGCTTGTTGCGGCTACCTAAGCAGGCAACCGGCAGTCAACAAATTTTTCCGGCCAACCGTGAAGAACCCCAGCACCAAGACGCAACCCCCTAGATTAGCCATCACCCAGTCACCAACCCAAGGTTGTTATGACTAGGTCAGCGCTCTTGGTAAGATTAGATTTTTTTTTTTAAATTGCCCACGAGGGCCCATCGGGGAAGCATGCGGAATTCATGTTTGCCTTCATGACTCATGCATTAAGGGCGTAAAAGCATGAAGGGTCATGGGTTTTGTCAGCAAGTTACATAAAGTGACAGAGTGATGAATGTGGGGGAAAAATTCCCAGTACAATTTATCTGTTTATGACAAAGTGTGGCAGGTCCCTAATAATGTCAAGTGCCAGGCCTGTCACTAGGGGGAGGGATATCTGGTAATGGAGGGAAGAGGTGTTGGTAACGGCTGGGGACCTGTAGGAGGAGGTCATAGGGCAAGTGAGGATGTAGTGAGAGAGGGTGTGAGAGTCGGTTGACCACAAAGTTTACAAACAGTGCGGCCAGGCTCAGGGTTGCCAATATACTAGGCGTGGTGACGTACAGTGGGGGTGAAGGTGATATGGTGTGGTGGGACAGGTACAGTTGGGGTGGAGGGAGGCACATAGGCATTGACAATATTGAGGGACATACCTTTTAGTGTGATTGTGATGGCGTGTGCGTCGACATACCGGTGGGGTACGGGTAGCCGGGGGCGGTGTCCTCAGGTCCAATAGGTTGCCCTGGTGGAGACAGCACAGACACAGTAGCTGGCGCGGCTTGCGGTGGGTGGAGGACAGGTTGAGGCACCAAGTGTCGTGAAGATGAGGCCGGACTTTGCTCGAGGGCAGCAGGACACACCAGGGCAGGCCAGGTAGGCGCTACACCAGTAGTGAAGGCCGCCGGCGGTGGAGTAGGCCGTGAGCAGGGGGGGCTCACAGGGGGACCACCAGCTTGTGTCAAACCAGAAGAGAGGAGTGACTGGGTGGCAACAGAGGGCAAGAGTAGGTTGGAGATGGTGGTACAGAGTGTAGAGAAGAGTCTTTCAATACGGTTGGTAAATTCTTGGAAGAGGGATATGATCTGTGTCATGTCACTGGAGGGGGGTTGTGGGGGGACACCGGTGGGAGTACAAGGCCTGACAGCGTCAGAGTAGAAATGGGGAGGAGGCCCAGTAGTAGTTGAGTTAGGAAACGGCCGGGACTGCTGTGTTGCAGCCAGGTGAGGCCAGGCAGGGGCAGGTGTTGTTGAAGAAGGCGATGCAGGAGACTGTGGGGGGCGTTGTGGTAGACGCGACCTTCGGGAAGGCTTTTCCTCTGAGACAGACGGGCGATTGGGGCATTGCCGTGAGTCAGCATTGTGCCGGCCGCCGCAGTTACAATACCTGGGATCAACTACATAGCCCACACCACCCCTATTAAGGTGTTTTTTTTATTTTCTGGGCACAGGCAGCGGAGTTATGGTTACATGAACAGAAGCGACATCTGGAACGATCACGTCGGCAGCAGGCAGTGAAGGTGTGACCCCAATGAGAACAGAAAACACAAAATGCAGGCCCAGGGTGATAGGGTTCAGCATACAGTGGAGGTAGGAGAGGGTGGGCCTCCACAGTGGTTGGGCATTCCCTTCCCTTCCACTTGACAATGACAGCAGCTTGTGGAGTCTTCCCCCGGTAATGTCGACATATACTGAGTATACTAGAATTAAAATCACACTTATCTTCGATGTCAGCGTATAGGGGGAAACGTTTCACTATGATGGCAACATTCATTAGCGTCTACTGGGGGGGGGCACCAGGACAACCCCGTCAAAGCCAACAGTACTAAGTGTTTCATAGACCTCAGGAGTCTGACACTTGATAAAGTTCCGGTTCTTACCTTGTCAGAATTGAATGTTGAGACCGTGCTGTCTACAGTACTTCATCATCCAATTAGAGTGTTCCTCTACAGTTTTCAGAGAGTCCTTGGGGAAGTGTGGACGTACCGTGTGACCCGTGGTGTGACCCAGCACGTTACCCGCCGTGACAGCCAGTGTACGCGGGTTCTCCTTTGGACATCAGTCTTCAAGATCGCCAATTTCGGTCGCCGGGCACTGAACCTCGCTACTTTGAAAAATTTGGTCTAGCCTGGTAAACATAACGACGTTGTTGACGTTGACTCGCCTGTGCCATAGTTTCATTTGCTGACAGAAGGCATTCATCTTATCTTGGACATCGATAATGGAAGCATTTTTTCCTTGTAGAGAGCAATTCAACATATTCATCTCTCGAAAGATGTCCGACAGATAAACTAGGCGTGCGATGAACTTGTCGTCACGAAAGGCAGCGTTGTCAGGGTGTGCTTTCGCAGCAAGAAAGTCCGCTATTTCTGATCGCAGTTCAAAAACTCGATCCAAAACCTTGCCGCGAGACAGCCATCTCACCTCAGTGTGCAAAAACAGTCCCACAGAGTCACTGCACAACATACACCCACTCATTGCGGCTTCTGGAGTGATACGGACAGTAAACTGACTCAATTTATATAAATCTAATCACTAGTGACTAATGGCAACTTGAGGCGAATACTTCACAAGTTGCCAAACGCGGCAAACGTAAGTGTTATAAGTGTTAAATACGAGGTTACCCCACCGTGCCAACAGAAGCATATTACCCCAGCCAAAATGTAGTTTTTACACCAGTTGGGGTAATTACCCCGAGTTTGAGAACCACTGGCTTAGGTCATCATATCCACCAGCCCTTGGCATCTTGGACACGTCATCGACGACATCTTGAAAACGTCAATCCAATGTCATAACAAGTCGCCATCTTGGATCTTCAATTCTATCAACAAGGAGTGACCGTGACATTTCTACTCAGTTGTGTGCTAAACTCGGTGAGCTCTACAGATTTCACCACCAGGCTTTCATTCAAATCTCGATTCTTCTATCAAGTCTACATAAATATGTATGCTACAGACTACAGTAGATTTATAAAACAAAAACATATTCTACAGCATACCATCATACGTCAGACGTCGTGATAGGATAGTTTTTAATTTATAAGTGCCTTACTACATATACTACTGACGTATTATTTTTACTTGCTCATTTACTGATACTTCACTTACTTTACTTATAATATAAATAAGTTACTGTAAATGGATGGGCAAGGTTATTGTTTAGTATAATCTTATTTTATTATATAGCAATTATGGATAGTTTTCTTATGTTACCGGGTTCAGACATTAAGGACTTGGCGGAACGTTATAATAGTGACTCTGAACACTCAGAAAACGTAGTCCCGTCTGACAGTGCCTGCTGGCGCTGGTATTGACACTGAACCTCTGGTAGATTTGCAAGGAACACATGCACATTCACTGCGACACACTTTCATTGAGAGTAGTGAACAATTTATTGATCAATCATTTGACGATTTACACCGTACCAAACTAAGGTCAGGTTTCATGTACGACATCAAACCTCATTTTGGGCCAGTTAACTCTCATCCTACACAGAAATACAGTGTGTCAGACACTCTTCCTTCACCTCCTGCAACCACTAATCCTCCAATTATATCTAAGTTGTCTAATAACTCACTAACCATGGCTACAGCTAGTTCCGGACATGTCATCTAACAATTCTAACATTGTACAGGTATTACCGTGCAGTGACCACATTCGCGAGTTCACGGCGGAAGATGATTATCGCGTAACTACATTTTTTAAGGCATGTGAGGATGCAATGCAGAAGATTTCTATCACGGGAGATGAGAATCGCAAGGCTTTTGTGAGCGGTCACATAAAGGAAGGTACAGGAGTTTTGCTAGTGAACATTTGGATGCTAATGGTCTTGCGGATCCTTCATATACTGAGTTTAGAAAGACTTTAATTGGTCTTTTTGAATTGGGAGCACTGGAAGGTCACCTGAATTGTATTTTTAGATGGGTTAACCGCCTTCCTCGTAAGGCTCGAGTAGAGGATACTATGAAAAGTGTCTCCATAGCGGGTGATGTTCATCAAGATATCAAAGCTAATTTCCGTGGTTCGACCTGGCTGGATGATGATGGCAAAATGACATTAGACAATTTTGCAAAATTATTTGAATTTGCTACTTTTCTATTGACGATACGCGACCCTGCGTATAATCAAGCAAAGACAGAAAATTATACCTGCATTGATACAATTATTGCTTACGCACATAAGATCGTGATTAAGACACCTCGTACTCCTCTAGCCAGGACGGTCACACCTGTGGCACCCGGTTTAACAAAGAGTTCCCAAGAACTCTGGCACAAAAGTCTAACAACTTTTAGTTTGTAAACACTGCAACAAGAAAGGTCATACAATTGACTTTTGTTACCAGCTCCAGCAAGGTGGTGTCAAACCCTAACACCACACAACCCCTAACACAAATCTACGACAGCGACAAGACCCACCCAAGTCTTATTCAGTAGTTGCTCAGGCCAAGTCTACTATGGAACCGACAGCTGATATGTGGTGTGTGTATCATGAATCTGCCTCCCATAATTCTGAAGACTGTCAAGTTCTCCAAAGATGTCAGAATATTCAGAATATAGGGTATGGGGTACCTCAGGTATCACTGAAGCGGACATCGCGTTGTCGCTATCATAATTAGTCGGGAGAAGATCAGCGTCTTTCCCAACAGTACCAACTCACAGCAGCACTTCTGTTGCAGCCTCGTTAATAGCGGCGCTGAACAAAACTGAAGTGTTATCTGTTCCGGTGAGGGTTGGTGTAATCAAACTTGCACTAGATGTAGATACGGGTGCGTGTACAAATGTACTCTCATTAGCGTCCTATAAAGAACTACAACGACGATCCCTAACCGAGATTTTAAAGTTCGACCTACTGACACCGATCTCTCAGGAGTTTCCGGTGCCCAGCTAGACATTACGTGAGTGGTGACTCTACCATTACGTTTTTCTAGACGTGGTAAACCATTTCCTTCAGAGTTTTATATAGTCAAGGACTTTTATTTGCCAGCTGACGGATTAATTGGTCTTACAACTCTAAAACACAACATGATAGATGTCCAGCCAAACCAACATACTATCACTGTTAGTGGTGGAACCTATCGTGTCATGCACAAATCTGTACCATTGCTCTCCGCAAGGGTGAATGTTTTATCCGGCGCTCCTACTACGAGGAAGTTCTTGGATCCCGATTCCCAGCGTGTCCCAGGTCCTACAGACTCATTTACCCAGCGTGACTACAGCAGCAAAAGTTGGATGGTAGTACCTGCAGTCTTAACAGGTACTTTCCATTTTCAGAATGAGGAAATCACCAGAGCCACTGTTTGCTTACCTGACGTATACACTGGGATTGACGTAGTCTGTCTTATGGAAACGTGCAGGGTTAAAGGCCTAGCATGTGAATCTACATTGAGTACGATTCGTCCTGGTGGTGTAACAGATGTCCTCGTTCTTAACAGAACAGGCACTACCAGAATATTGAAAGAGGGATGTTAGTTGTGTGATTTTCTGGTTTACCATAGTAATGTTGCGTTACAGCCTACACAACTCCCACTTAGTAGTGTTACACATACACTTACACAAACCAGACAGGAGAGGATAGATCAAATAACGCCACATGTTAAGGTAATTGATCACCCTCAAGGCAAGACTAAGTTCCTAGAGTTGCTTGCCGATTACAGAAACATTGCAGCCTTACCAGTGGAACAGTTAGGTCAGACAAGTTTAAATTCCCATCACATATCTTTAAAACAGGACACATATCCGATTTACATATCAGCTTATAGACTACCTCATAGCCAGCGAGCTGTAGTGCAAGTCATGGTTCAAGATATGTTAGACCAAGAAGTCACCACACATTCAAAGACTTCCTTTAATAGCCCACTGTTTTTAGTCCCTAAGAAGGATGGAGGTTGATACCCGGTCATTGATTTTCGGCGCGTCAACGAATATATTATCCCGGATAGGTATCCAATGCCTGTCCCGAGTGATATTTTGCAATCTTTAGGTAAGGATAATGCTGTGTTGAGCAACCTTGATCTGCTTAGCGGATATTAACAAATTCCTCTTGGCGAGAAATCTCGTGAGATTACTGCTTTTAGTACTCCATTGGGCTATTTTGAAGTTTTACGAATGCCATTCGGTCTCCGATATGCGCCACTGACTTTTCAAAGGATGATCAACACTTTGTATGCTGGTTTAATAGGTACCACAGTATGTGCCTACTTAGATCATCTCATCGTAGTCAGTAAGGATGTAGACAGTCATATTGCCAAACTCCATGAAGGTTTCCAGAAACTTTCTACAACAGGACTTAAAGTTAAACTATCTAAGTGTGATTTTTTTGAAATCCAAAATACATTTCTTTGGTCATGTAGTTGACGGTGTTATCGACAAGCACAAATTGTGCGCGCCGGCCACATGTTAAGTGAAGAAACTGTTTACAACTCAGAATAGCTTACTAAGCGAGATGGAGCTGGTAGCAGCTGTGTGACTGCCTGAGGGACAGTCTTTCGCCGTCTACTGTAAAGGCAACATCTGGATTCTCGCCCACAACATTTTCCCGCTGGACATTATATTTGTTCTTGTTGGTCTTACCATAGACCCCAAAACGTGAGTGTGATTGGGAACTGTTGAATCCTCTGAGAACTCTAAATAACTTTAATAAGTGTAATTATGTACTGTATATTGATCGTATTATTCAAACTGTGTCCTGATGTACCAGCAGTTGTTATATGTGAATTGTATTCAGCAGGTTTTGACCGAATTATACTCATTGCGTCAACGACAAGGATCTTATTGTCCTGCACAAACCAAAATCGCTCCAATGAGCGATTACAGACGGAGACGGCATTCATACAGTTGATGACAAAGTCAAAGATGTTACACAGTTCCCACGTCCTAAAACACTTAAGAAGGATGCAACTTTTGTCTGGAATGCTGAACAAGAGGATAGTTTTCTTGCATTGAAGACAACACTTACAAATGCACCTGTTTTAGCATTTTCTGGCTACACTCAACCATTTACTCTGTGTACCAACGCCTCAGGTCAAGGACTAGGCACTGTACTTATGGAGCCGGACACACGAGGAAAATATTGAGTAATTGCTTTCGCCAGTCATAATCTTAATGATGCCGAAACACGTTATTCAGTAACTCATCTAGAAACATTAGCTGTTGCTTGGGCACTGAAGACGTTTAAAGACTTAAATTTTGGTTATCCAATAACCATTCATATGGATCACGTGGCAGTGACAGAGCTGTTCCAAGGCAAAAACCTTTCAGGCAGACTAGCAAGCTGATATTTGACCATTCAAGAATTCAAACCCGTGTTCAAGTGTTTACCGCGACGAGCGAATGTGGTCGCCGACGCTTTGTCCAGAAACATAGCACCAGTGATATCTGTATCTTCGTTTATTCTCTCGCGATTACGGGATGAACAACGACTGGATCCTATGTGGTCTGCAGTCATATTTGCTCTAGAGTCGGGGGAGGAGACAGAACTTCC